GCTGCCTGGGGGGCTGCCTGGGGGGCCAGGGTCCCGTGCCAGCCACCTGCACGGGCACCTTCTGTGCCATGGCCCGAGGGCTCTTGAGGAGGGGATGGGGGCACAGCCACTGACCCTTCACTGCTGAAACCTTCTCAGGCTGTGGCTCAGCAGACTCTTCCTTTGCTTATAAAAATAAAGATTTTGAGGAAATGTACAGCTGAAACCCACTCTGGCTGTTCCATCTGCCTGAGAGGGCTCTGGCTGGTGCCAGGCGTGCAGCTCACCCAGCCAATGCTCTTCTTCTTCCTGCTCACCTTGTACCGTGCTCCTGTGCCAGCTTCTCATGTCCCACTCCTGTCCCTCGCTCCTGTTCTCAGCTGTGAGCAAACAAGTGCAAACCACCCCTGCCCGGAGGAGGAGGCCCAGCACTCAGAGACACCCAGCACCCCCACAGCAGGAGGCCCTTGCCCAGAACCAGGCTCACACGCTGCTGCTCAGCTGCCTGACTGGTTTATGGCAGAGCTGCATGACAGGGTCTCTCCAGGGGAACCACAGCAGCTCTGCTGTCCCCAGGGCAGCCAGTCAGTGTCTAATTGCTGTAATTCTCAGGTGGGAAGGACACTTCCCCAAGGATCTGACATTGTCTGGCCTTAAAACAAGCCACAACTCTGCTCACTCCACACCCAGCAGTCACTGCCCAGTGCTGGCATCCAGTGCCTGGGGCACGGCCACACCGACAGAGCAGGCGGGTGTCAGGAGGGACACCCACCCCAAATTCAGGGAGAACATTCTTACCCCGAGCACGTTTCAGGTGTCAGGAGCACAGCCCCCACCCCGATGCTGCCTACAGCTCTATGAACAACCTTCGCCCTGTGCTCAGGCCGCAAGCCCCAGTGGCTGGCCACCAAAACAGGGATTCCTGAAAACCAAATAACCGAATTCTCATGGGAGGATCGATCCTTCCCCACCCCTCAACTCGGAGATCAGCGCCCAGCGCCGAAGAAACAGCAGGAAATACTTTGATGACACCACCTTGGCCATCTCATGTTGAAGGAAAAGGCTAAACTGGAACTCAGTAACTGACCAGTAACCCCCCACAGGCGTGCCAAGCTGGATGCCAGTGCCACGGGCTGGACGCCGGTGCCACGGGTGCTGCTCTGCCAAACACAGCCAAGGACTCAGGCAGTACGACTTGGGTTGTTTTGCTTTACTCGTCATTTCACAAGTCCAACAAAATCCAACAAAAACTGGTATTAGGCCTGTACAATCCATATATAAAAAGGGTTGGTTTATTGTAGTTCAAATACATAAACTGAACAATCCCAACATTTCAAAATTAAACTTTAGAAACACAAGTTTAACATTCAAAACCGGAGTATAGTTTACAAGAATTGCCCAGAGGGGAAATCCACAGTCTAATCCAGAAGTATGTAAAGATCACTTTATTGTAAATAAAGGTGTGTTTGTACAACCGTCTGTCCTGCTCGGGTAACCACTGCTATTTACCAAGTGTTTCCAACTCTGAGTAAAAATTATTAGACAAATCTTCACTTGGGTAGAGCAACTTGATTTTGCTTCTAATTTGTGGATTGAGAAAGGAACGAAGCAGAGCTGTGAACAGGTTTAATTCGGTCTCTTAGGCCTGACTCTCCTCTTTCAGGTCTAACTCTGGCTTTAATGGATTTAGTTCCATTTGCAAGGGTGAAAGCAGAGGACTGGGACTTGTGTTTTGCTGTTTTCAGTAACCAATAATTTACCCTCTCAGGCAGTATTTCTCCTCCCCAGCCAGGGCTGTGGGCAACCCCTGGGAAGCTGGTGGCACACACAGAGTACACGTTCAAACCACAGCTACCCTTAAGACTCACGTGTATGACCCTGCAGACGGGGCACCTCCGATTACCAGCCACCCCCCCAGACACTGCATCACTCTGAGATGCACAGCCCACACCTTCAGGCTTCCGTCAGCCACGCCCCACAGAAACTCACCAATACCTTTAACGTGGGTTTCTCATTGTTGGCTCCCCCCCCGCCCCCGAGACCATTTTATGTTCACAAATGCTGCTTCTTCCTCTGCTCCTCAGATGGTTTTGCAATATATTCACGGTAATGTGTATGTATAAACCTGACAGATGGCTCATGCAAGCGTTTGATTGAACAGATACTCTCGGGTGAAGAGTATTTTCTAACTACTTCGTCGTCCTCCTGGTGGGCTCGGAGGCCGTGGGGGGTGGGGGCGGGCCCCGGCGGTCCAGGTCGTCCACGTAGGACACGATGAGCTTGCGCCGCTCCTCCGGCACGCAGTCCAGCACCAGGTACCGCTTGTCGTTCTGCAGGATCTTCTCCACGTCTTTCAGGTGCTGATCTGACTCCTGGATCAGCTTTTTGGATCTGAAAGCAAGCGTGAGATTAGCCCCCGAGCTGCCCCGGGGGGCAGAGGGGGCAGAGGGGTGAGGCAGGGGGAGGTGCAGGGGCCTGGCAGGCTCTTTGGGAGGTCCAGGGGCCTGGCAGCCTCTTTGCTGATGCCACTGCAGGTCAGGACGCGCCAGCTTGGTCCCTACACTTGTGCCACGCTAGTTGAGGGCCAGGGAAGACTTGTGTTGGCTGCAGTGGCCTCGTGCAGCACTACCTGAACTATATAAATGCTAAAACCTAGAGAGGACAACAAAATTATAATCAAGAGTTTTAAATTTAGCACCTAAATCAGACAAATAATTAGAACTTATTGTGAGAGTCTCGGTTACAGTCCAGCTTGGCTTGACTGTCCTCAGCAACAGCAGCACCACCTGAGATCAGAACTCCCCACAGGACAGCACCAACCACAAGGCAGCAGGCAGCTTGTTGGCCTCCAAAGAACTTAATTTGGTTTTCTCCTTTTTAAGTGAACTCATGCTTCTGATCAGGAACTTGCTGCGGTCCGTACTGAAGACTCTGTACCAGCCTCAGCAGCCCCCAAAGCCGGGTGACAAGGTGCTTTGTACATCTGCCCACCTGTGAGGCAGCATCCTGTCAGTGACATCTTCCCACAGAAACTGGGCACATTATTCATGGAGCTTTTTATAAAATTTCCATGAAGTCAGTACTTCTTTGCCAAAACACAGCCTCATTTCAGTATCGATCCGTCCTGAGTCGGAAGCAAGGACAGACACATGAACACATGAAGAACAGTCCTCACTGCAAAACGAAGCTAACGCCCAGCAGCTCAGGGTACCATCCCCAGAACACTATTCTGCAGACAAAGACACTTCACCCCTCTGTTGGTTTGATCTTCACTGCTCGTTAACCAGCAGCAGAAATGTCCAAACAGAGCAAAGAGAGGTCTCCAGCTGCTGCAGACTGAGGGGTTTTGGGCAGGCTATAAAAGGTTGTGAAAGTGTAACCTGGACATCAGCTATGCTCGGAGAAAAAACCAGGCCCCAGTTTGGTGCCAGTCACACAGAGAGGCAGAGGAGAAGCCTGGGTGCCCTGCAGCCCTCTCACCACCCACCTGTAGGTTATGAATTTGGTCTCTTTCAGCAGGGTCCGGAAGTCGGCTTTGGCAGTAATGTATTTGTCTCTAATGTACTCCTCAAACTCCCTTTGTTTCTTCTGGAAGAAAACAGATAATCTGCACTCAGTGCTTTCAGCTTAAGTAGTATACTGAACATAAGCAATAATTACATGCTAATTACTTTTTTTCTTATATTTTACATTTTTAATGAAAACCCCTCTGATCTAGACAGCAACACTTGTGTTCACGTGGAGCAGAAGCCCCTTCAGCAGCCACCAAGTGACTCCTCTGCACCCTGCAGTGATGCCAACCACTCACCCTGTCACTCGAGGAAAATTTAATGCACCTCGGGTCTTCTTTAATGATTTTTTTCACTTCTTTCCACGTTGATGTTAAAGTTATCTTTCAAAAAAAGCAAAAATAGTTCAATTAAAACTATGTTCTAAGACTACACAATGCAAGTGTTACTACATCTGAAGCTTCTAAATATCTCCTGAACTCACTGACAAAGCTGTTGTTGTACTTTTAACTGTTAGGTTTTGATTACTGATATTACCACATCAGTATTTTCAATTAGATTATTTTATGTATTTACTTTGGCTTTAGTATTTTGTGATGATCATTTTCAGATCAAAGTCCTCACAAACATCATTCACATCCCAACATTTTTTCCTGGTACCTATTTCTGTATATAAACGTGTTGTTAAAAATTACTTGCAGAAAACTTGTTTCAGAGTTACATGTCTGTCCTTTTCTGTTCTATTACACTAAAAAAATCTGCCTGATGTTCTTAAGCACTTTTAATGGATGCATTAAAAAAATGAGGTAAAAATGTTCAGGTTAAAAGAAAGCTGCTTGATGTTGGCAAAAACTGAAAAAGAGCAGGACTCACTAAAATCCCCCAAACCACAGAATAGGTGATAGATTTCCACAGCACTAAACAGAACAAAAGTTCAGATTCAGCAGCGCAAGATAACAGCAGGAGAGCATCAAAACAGATGAAGTTGTAAGGTTATGTACTGATACTCATTAAGACAAGCAAGATGCCACCTAGTAAAGACTATCAAATAACTCAGTGCTGAAGAAATGTAACATCCTGCAGGAGATAAAAAGATCACTGGTTAGAGGTTCAAATGTAAATGAACTGTATGTTAAAACAAAATAACAGTCAAGATAACAGGTCAGGAAAGATAATGCACAAATTTTGTTATGAAGAAGAAAATATGGTGGTGAAGCAAAGGGGCCCTGGAAATAAAAACAAACAAATCAGATTGTGCGACAAAACCAGAAAAGGATAAGTCAGCAGGGCTCACAGATTGGAGTGTGAATATACAGAGCTCTTACCGCTGAAGTTTCATCCAAAAGTTGCCTAAAGTGTTCCCTCTTCTTTTTGGTAAGTGCTTCAATGTGCTCATTAAAGAGCTTCTCTTTCTCTTCTCTCTCTAGCAAGGAGCCAGACTCCCACCGGTGATCTTTGCGTAGAGTCCTCCTGGTATCAGACCAGGACACGTCGGAAGAACGCACCTGAGCCAGAACAGGAGTCGTCTTTAAATCACTTTTTTCCTACAGTTTACTGGCATTTCTTGTACATCTTAGGGTTTTTATTTGTTTTGAGTTAAGGCTCAAATTAAACATAGAAAAACAAACAAACAAACAAACCCAAACAGACTAGCAGCTTCTCCACACAGTCTGTAGAAACTTAACTACGAATGCCAAAACGCTTTTCCACAGTGCTACAAAGAGAGAAGCCAGCAGCAGGGGCTGGGAGAGCCCAACAACACCTCACCATGCCAGCCAGCACCAGGGGCTGGGAGAGCCTGACCACACCTCACCATGCCAGCCAGCAGCAGGGGCTGGGAGAGCCCGACCACCCCTCACGACGCCAGCCAGCAGCAGGGGCTGGGAGAGCCCAACCACACCTCACCATGCCAGCCAGCACCAGGGGCTGGGAGAGCCCGACCACACCTCACCATGCCAGCCAGCAGCAGGGGCTGGGAGAGCCCGACCACGTCTCACCATGTCAGAGAGCAGTGCCTTGAAGTTCTGTATGGCCTCCTCCCGCTTGTGCTGCTCGCGCTCCCTGTCGATCTCCTTGGTCTGCTCCGAGCGAGCCTTCTGCACCTCCCGCTCCCGCTCCCGCAGGCTGGCCTCGATGCGAGCTTGTCTTTCCAGCTCCTTTTCTTTTTCAGAATCTAAATTCTGAAGTTAAGAACATGCTTTTCTCAGTGAAAGCAGTGCTACACCTTTCACATTTCCAGTACAGGTGGGTAGATCACGGTGGTTCCACACCAAAGCCATCTCGGAACAAAATGCTTCAGCTATCTGAGATCCATGGGCTACAGAACTTTGCTTCCACAGCTACACAGAACCATTACAGGGTTTGCACAGGGGCAAGAGACGTTTGGTCACAATGCTGACCACAGAACAACTATTCCCAGGAGCACACTGCTTGTGTACAGTGACAAATGCAGAGTAAAGGGGGGAGAGTGGAATCTCTGTTTCTTAACCCAGTTCTACATTCTCAACCCTTTATTCCCTGGAAGAGAAAGGCAGGAATACTGGATCAAGAGAGAAGAACCACAAAAAAACCTGTGTATGAAGCCATCTACTTTCCTGAAGGAAGCTCCACTGACACAAAAAAAAAATCCCAGCAAGGGAAGCTCTGTCCATCCTGGTGGGAAGCAATCGATGTGGTGTCTGCATTTTTCTAAGTTTTACAGCCATGTGACTTCACAGGCTAGATAAACGTGTGCACACAGCACACATGTACCACAAACCTCTGCAGCAGCAGCACCACCAGGGTCAGCACTTCTGAGCCCCAAGCTGTCATGCCAGGGTACTTCTGCAAGCAGCTTTGGTTTAGAATCCTCTCTAGTGTGGAGCTAAAGCACACGCTGGCCTATCCCTGTTAGTTACTTCACATGCTAACAGCCATGTAATCAGCAGAGCATCCAAGGTTACACTTGTGAATGTCACCAGCATACCTTGGCTATTTTCTCTATGTACTGTTTGAACAGGTCTTCCCTCTGAGAGGAGCTATCCACCGCTTTGTAGCGGGGGTCAGTCTCCACTTTGTCCTTCACTTTGCTCCAGCGAGACTGACTGTCCAGGTGGTGGTTAGCCAGCAGTTCAAAGAAGTCCATTTTGATCTGTTTTACAGACAGAAACAGAAAGACAAGACTTGAGACAGATACTTTAATACCCAACAGTTCGCTCTTATGAAAAAAGGAGTCAACTTACCTCCAAGAGAGGGAAGCATATTAATACTACATAGCATTTCAATTTAGAGAAATCACTACAACTCTGCATTTGGGCATAACTGCATCTAAAACTCATGATGCATTAAGATCTGCTACACCTAAGATGTACTATAATCTTTAAAGAACAATTCACCAATACAGTTTTTATTATTTTGCTCCAATTCAAGCTTCTTTTTTGAGCTTTTAGATACATTTCTATCTATCTCCCAAAGTAACAAGTTACTGGTTCTACATTTTAGCATTTTGCATATTAATACTACAGAAGCTCTGCTGTTTTAAACAGGGCTCTAAGCAAATCAGGTATTTATGGATTCATTCTCCAAGTGCACAATGAGCAGAGGTAAGATCTTGGATCTGCTGACAAAGAGCAATGTCTTATGGATCTGACCAACGGAGAATTACCCACATGGTAAATAAGTCATTACTTTTATGAAAGATATACACATGTATTAAAGTGTAAGGAAATGTTTTAGCCTGCTTTTCCAATTGGAAATGGCACATCAGCACTCTGTCCAAAGCAGCAGCCATGGCAGAGGGCTGCAGAAGATCAGTCATAGTAGGGTGTTTATCTCAGGACAACTAGCAACAGGTTTTCATCCAAACTCCCAGAATCAGCAGTTGCAAGAGCAACTACTGTGCCTTTATTGCACCTCTTTTTCTGGGGTAGATGATGTCCCTGTTCCTGCTGTGCTTTAGTTCCCAGGTGTTTTCTTTTCACCTCCTCAGCAGCCTGGTCTGCCCCGCTTGCTGTGTGCCAGGGGGTACCCCCAGGGACTGGCTCCCCACACAAGGTGAAGCGTGCTGCCTTCACAGCACCCCAAACCCTGCTGGGCCACACAGCAGCACCCCTCTGTGTGGCACGCTGGTTAAAAAACCCCAAATGGTCTTGGAGAAGGGCTGGCCATTCATTTTTTGCTACTCATCTTCCCTCCTCATCCCTTTATTAAAAGGGGAGAGCCACCAAAAGCAGGGTAGCTGCAGAACAGCGAGGTTCCCGAGGGAAGCGAGCAGATGGACAGGCCAACAAAACCTGGGTTGCCAGAGAACTGTCACATCCTGATTCCCTAAAAATGTGTTTAGTTACCGAATGCAGGAATGAAATTAAGACCAGAACCAACACCCTGCAGCCTTGCCCACTGCTGATTTTAGTTCTTCACAATATTAACATATAAACATAAAAGGCTTCCTAGGTTTTTTTCTTTACTATCTCAACAGGGAGATTAAGACAGTAAGCAGAGATCAGAAAACGACTGGTTAGTGCCAGTGGCAAGTAGCTCTACATCTACAGCACTATCAATTTTTCTTAAGTAGCTGAACAAAATGCTAAGCAAACCGTTTATTCACTGTAAAATTAAGAACGTTGTTTCAAAACATCTTAAAGCATGCATGCAGTATGAAAAATATGAAGCTTTCTAAGCCGAGGCATTAGAAATATTTGTTAAAAATCAAACAATTCCCAGACGTTGCTACAGAAGTCTGTAAAGTAAGGGTGCCTGCGGGTGCCCAGGGAAGCACTGCACAGGCCAGGTGTGTGATCCACCCCACAGGGGCAGTGCCCGGGGGCAGGACGGGCACCTGGGG